TAACGAATGCATTGAGCTTCAAATCCTGCGGTGAGTGTACCTTGGCCCTTGAACGTTTGCTTTTGCTTACTACTAACCTCTGTATGGTCCCACCTCTCACATGTGTACATGACTGACACATACTGACACATTTGGCTCAAGCCTGGAAAAGCCGCTTGCTTTCACGCCCGACCCTGCACTTGACTGGCTTTCCGCGCGTTGTCCGTTGGACCACTCTCGAGACATGTTCTTTCCAAGGGAGCTCCACTATATTGCACTTCGCGTCGCCCCCCCGTCCCTTCCACAGCACGTCGAAACCACGACTGAAACGGAACATGTTAGAACTGCAGAACACGAACGCCTGTGCGAGTCACGAGAGGCCGTGACACCAAAAACATTGATGTAATGAATACTATATGTTTGCACACACTTCCTACCTGACAAATGTTACGAAGCACTTGAGTATTCACAAAATCCCACAAAAAAACACCAAGCCAAGCATCAGAGATTTCTCTGGCTACATACATAATTTGTTCGCGCCGGATGTTCCAAACAGAATCACCTTGCCTTTTAAAACCAAACAACCCTCTGGCCTCCGGCAACGGAGCATACCAAACCTCCATAGGACGCGCCCATGATGCATCCTCCGCTTTCAGAGCTGAATCTGGAGGAATGCTTCACGGATCTTCACTGACTATGGATAGCTAGCAACATGTCCCGATCTACTCCGCTATCAGTACACATTTGCATCAAGAGGAGAGATGCAAAGAATAAGAGCGCCAACAAAAATCTAACCTGATTTCAACTCCTTGCCGCATCAAAAACTGACTCTCCGGATTGGGAGCCATACACAAAAACTTAAGCAATCCTATCTTCACTGCTGTTGTTCTGTGTGTATCATGCAACCATGGATGAAATCCACAGCAGCTTCTCCCAAATTGGATTCCACACACGACTTCTCCTCTTCTTGAAACTCACGTCATCTACCCACCCACAGTCCTTACAGGCGCTGTTCCAGTAGCACCACTCCTAAAGAAAAGCACGGTCCTTTAGACAAACAAAAGGGCTTAGAATCATTACCCCGGGCAGCCCCGCGGCACCAGCATCCAAGCCCCAACGCCCCCACAACAAGACATGTGGCAGCGGCATTTTGCAGCGGCGCCAGTAAGCGCACACAGCACGTCACACGGCCACACGTGTGGCAGCGACACCCCACAGCGACATCAGCACCCTGCAGCGAAAGCAGCGTACAAGTATCCGGCAGGGCCCTGCCGGTGCTAGCGACCAAGCTCCAAGCGCACCCAGCCAGACATCTGACAGCGCTGAAGCAGCACCAGCTGGGGGGGAGGCAAGGCGTATGGATTCATGATGGGCGCGGTGGCGAAGCTGGCCGCAATATGCCGCAATGACATCGTCATCGCGGAGGATGCGATCGTCGCGGGTGAGGCTGCTGATCTGCAGCAACTGCACCTTGTGCGGCTTCGTTCCATCACGGGTCTGCCGGTACAGGGCGAAGAGATCTGCCGGTACGGTCCTGGTCCCGAAATATCTTGTTGGAGCGGCCTTTGTCCATCAGGACGTTCAGATCGCTTTGTCGCGCCTTCGTGCGTTGCCCTCCGTACAACCCATATCTTCGAAGAAGCCTGCGATTCGTCATGCGTGTGCAGCAGTCCGTGGTAGACCCGCGTCACTGTGAAAGCATCACACACACTGTGCGAGAGCTCTTCTGAGGTTGCCCCCGGAACGAAGGTGATGGTGAGCGGTGCCTCGTGCCGATCGACCTGGCCGTCGACGTGCCCCTGAAGACTGCCACAACTCAAACGGAATCGCGTTTTTCTCAATGATGGTGTTGAGTCTAGAACTGTTCATGTCTGCAATCCGCTTTGCAATCCGCTTTGTGGGCATGGAATGGGCATGGAACTGATCATGGTCGACCAAAACGGTTCGTAAAAAACAATTTCAGCGACCGGCGAACCCCAATGATTTTGTTCCTAGATTGTTTAGGGGAACTTAGCAGTAACAAGGGCATAGGGTGTCCCACAAGAGGTTTACACAAGAGTGTCCCACAAGAGTGGCCTACAAGAGTGTCCCACAAAAGTGTCCCACAAGAGCGGCCTGCAAGAGTGTCCCGCAAGAGTGCCCGACAAGAGCGTCCGGCAAGAGTGTGCCACCAGACTGTTGTACGTGACCTCAGAAGTGGCAGCTTTGTAGTGCAGATGTAGTGTGGGAAGCAGCTTCTGGGAGCTGTGGCCCCAGAACGGGCAACTTTCTAGAACAAATGTGGTACTGGAAGCAGCTTGTGGGAGCTGTGGCCCTAGAATTGTAATGCAAATGTAGCGCGGGATATGGCCAGATTACGTTTGTGATGTCGCTGCGCCATGCGGTTTCGCGCGGCCTCGGTGGAAAGTGTGTTTGTGTGAGTGCGTGTCGCTGGGGAGCGGGAGGCGCACCACAAGAGTGTCGCACGAGAGTATCCCGCACAGGTGTCTCACAAGAGTGTCTCGCAAGAGCACCGGATACAAGAGTGCTTTACCAGAGTGCCCCACAGGAGCGTCAAACAAAGTTTGGCCATTTGTTTTCGAGCGCGCGTTTGCTTGGTTCGTGGGTTCCGTTTTGTTTTTGTTAATCAAACTGCCCTCCGGACTCCAGCCAAGTGACACAACCTCGTTCGAAGAGTACTGGCGGCGTCGCGCAGCCTTAGTGGTTTGAAGCCCAAACCATTGTATCACAAAAAAGGCAATCTCACGTTGTTCTCGAATCAGTCTTAATAACTTTCATGCACGATGCTATTGCTTTAAAACACGAAATGGGAGTGACTGGTTCAAGTTGCGAGTTCCTGCTGGGACTTGGAACTGCAAATGCTATTTATGTATAAATAGGTGAGCCCATGTAAATTCTAGATTGCGCTTGGGGTATCTTTCAGCCTCTCAAGATCTCCCAAGTCAACTATATACAATGAGTTCCTTTGATATGGGTGTAGTGCTTAGATCCATGTTCTTTGTGAAGAAGCCGTGACAATTATTGTTTTGACAAAAGGCTTTTGGCAATTCTGGAGGCGTCTTTCATGAAGATATGTTTGTAGCCACTGGCTTAAAAAGTATTCATGAGGAACAAGGATGTTGTACTGGCAAAAGTTTACTAGGAATAGCCCGACCTTTTTTACATGGACGCATCAGAAAATCATTACTTTGGAAAGGACGAAGTCAGTACACAAGCTCTTTTTTACGAATAGATATTCTTAGAAAGGGTCTCTTTCTTACCGAGTGGAGATCCTGACCATTCCTAAGGCACCCCACATGCAGCTTGGGCGGATCCGCCTCAGGTGCGTCAAGAGCTTGGAACTTGAAAGGAATATCTTGGAGCCTCTCTTAGCATCAAGTGTTTCTACCCAAAGAATTTGGGATTGGAATATTCAACTTCTCTTGTAAGGACAATTATTCCGATAGCTTAAAAATACATTCCACAAACAGCATTTGGCAACAGTGGATGTGTCTTCCCTGAGGGGATTCTTGTACTCCCTGAGCAGCAATATTCATGAGGAATTGGAGCGTCATACAGGCTCACTATCAAAAAGCAATGAATTGATCAAATAGTGCTCATGCCAAATAACTTTCTGTTTCTATAACACGAAGTAGCCTCTGCAATACAAATCTCCACTACAAGGCACAGAAAGCAGCACAACCAAACGTTTAATACCTTCCCCTTGGTATATAAGCAAACATGGTGGTCAAACAGTGACACACTAAACCAGCAAATGATTATAAACAATCATCTTGTTTATAAACAACTCCTACACCTGAGTAGAAGGGGGGAGGGGGCCCCCACTCACCCTTGACTATCACAAGTCACATACTACCCCCCCCACCCTCACAAGTCATATACTACCCAGTTACTACCCCCCGACCCTCACCCTCGACTATCACAAGTCGACATTGATGAAAGTAGATCGAATATAGTGTGCATTTTGTTCTAGATTTACTTTTGTAGTATATAAATGATTGATTTGTTAGCAAAGGATTGATTTGTTAGCGAAGATGCATTACAATAAACATATACAGATACAACAAATAAAATTGGATCATATGATTCAGAAACAATTGCTTTCCAGGGGGCCCCGAAATGTCCGCAAGCCCATATATATATATATACACATCCTGTACAAAGCCAAAGCCCAGCCACTGTCTTCAAGCACTCTGTGAGCTTTCTCAAGCGTGGCAATCCCTGGTGCTGTCTGCAGCTGCCAAGGGTGAAGACCCAGCTGATGCCCAGCAAACACGCTCGGCGCAGGATCTAAAGTATGCCCTTGAAGTTAGCGATGATGAGATTTACTCAGCAAGATAGAGCAACATCCCTACCGTATTCAATTCAAAACCAAAATTATAGCTTACGTTAAGGGCACTTTATGGAGGTCCCAATCCTGGTTTTATGGAGCAACAGGTGGATTGAATCCTTGATCAACTTAATCTTGCCAAGGCTATGTGTGTGTGTGTGGGTTGAAGGTCCATGAACCAAAACTCATCTTGAAACTAATTCAGCTAGAACTATATACTGACTAGCATATAAATCTGATATTCAATGAATTCTCATTACAGTGGCTGTCCCAATCTGCGAGCTTGATCAAACAATCGCATCAGCAAGTGCCAAAGAATTTGTCCTGAGTCTTGAGCATCGAAAACCATTGAAAGGCATCAATTATCACCCTCAACTCACATGTTAAGTGCTTGAGGATATGCTGCCTTATTTTCCCTCTCTCTCGCTCTCTCCTTGTTCGTTCGGACAGGAATGTGCCGAGTTCCAGTAGAAAATAATTCCGGCAAAAGCTGAACAAACTTGCCAAAAAAGAGTCAGTCAGGCAATAAAAAGACGTGTCCCCTAAGTACGAGTTTGCTTTCCTTCACATATCACCTGAATTAGCTATAACATGCTATAAGTACTGCTCTATGCTCTCCCTTTTTGGCTGTGATCCACTCTCAACCCCACGGACACCGACTCCACGTGACGTCGCGAGCGTGACCCGGCGCCTGGATCTCTGCGTCGGCCGCGCGGCTAAAGTTCCCCACGACCAAAGGCACCAGGGGATCCAAAGGACTCGCGGGTTGGGAGGTGACACGTGGGGGTTTTCCCTTTGGTCGAACTGTGTTTTTTGAGGCTTCTAACCTGGGGTACCTATTGGATAGTCGAACTAAGGTTCTAACTTGGGGTCCCACAAATGGATGGAATCTGTAGGGACACGAGGAGACCATCACTGTATCGAGGGATCCTGAGATTCCATCCATTTTTCCTCTTGTTCCGCAGTGGATGGAGGATGGAGGAGAGGTGCTTCCACTGGAGCCCCAGAAACTCCGGTTAACGATCCCATGGACCGACTTCGCCCCATGTCGACCCATCTTCCTTTGGGGTCAACGGGTCAGTCCTTTTTGGGGTCCAACGGTACAAAAGCGACGTCGAACCGCCAAGCGACGCCAAACCGAACAAACCACGTGACTGGTGAGACCGGTTGCGGGGTATATATACGGGCGCCTGGACCCGACTTCAAGTACCCTAGAAAATGGGATATGACCCAATCAAAAGAGGTATACCTTGTAATTAACCATTGAACCCGAGGTACGAACGGAGACTCCAGGTGCTTGGATCTACTTGGCGACTGCATAGACCCTCTCAAATGCTGGCTCCGTCACAACCAAAAGATGGACCATGTCAAGGCTGGCGCCTAGAGGTCCCTAGCTTCTGGTGACCGTATCAATTCCCAGGACAATGTGCTTGCATTACCGTTGATCCCACCAAAATTGGTGTTGATCCCGCCTAGGGCCTAGGTTAACTACATCTAATCAAGACTCTAATCACAAACAATGTCCGGAGCAAGGACCGCGCAGTTGGCAAACATCAACATATACACGCTGACTCACTAACATATACACGCTAATATGGAAGACGACTTTCCTGTACAAACAGGAGGTTTTCCACTTCCATGTTAGCCAGTCAGAGCGTACACGCTCCATGTCGACAAGTTGTCAAGGGCAGTTCTACAACAAAGCCACCACCACCCTACAGCAGCTCCCCCCCCCACCTATTGGTGTAGCCCTCCGAGCCAGGCCCTCCGGTGGAGCCTGCGACGTTCGGACTCCATTGGCGCATCTTGGCGTGGCAGTCCACTCTCTGACGTGTGCCTTTGTAGGGAGGTATCTGATGGTATCTGTGGGGATTCGTTCCCTCATGAGACACCTATGACACCTATGAGTTGCACCACTCTGAGAAAGGACTTTTCAGTCCACAAATGTGCGTGGGTCATGAAATACGCACGTTTGGCTTATGGTCCACTTTATGTGGGTTCGTCAACTCTTTGTAAACCCTACGGCTCCAGTCGTACCTCCTCAGAAGGTATTTGGACACTCCTGGCACCCACCCCAGTCCCACCTTCTCAGAAGGTACTTGGAGCCTCTAAACCCACCCCAAACACCTTCTCAGAAGGTACGACTGGAGCCCGAACGGTAAAGTCATCCTTATTGATCCGGCCAGTGGCACTCACACTCGTGCGCGAACAACCCCCTTGAGACTCGCTCAATTTCCCGGTACGGGAGCGGTATAAGCCCCAGGCTTCCTGGCCCACCATGAATTTTAATGCTTAATTGTTACGAAGTGCTTCTTGTTACTACTAGTAAGGCACTTGTTCCCAGTAGCGATGCACTTGTTCCTAGGCAGGTCATCCCGAATCAACTAAGGATTTTAATGATTTTACATTGCACAAACCAGGTCGTTCCCATTCTTTTAATGGTCGAACGGAAGTCAAACGGGCAAGGCGTTTGCCTGGTCCGAAGTGGGGCCGTGCCACTACCGGACTCAAGATCACGTCTGCACTTCTTCGCCGGTTCTGAGAGGAGGGCCCCATACTGACGTCGTGTGACTGAATCTGGGATCTATCCATATATATACATATATCAGTGTACAGAATCCATACAACCTCTACTATCCTCCACTGATGGATGACGTCACACAGAAATACTGTGCGTTCTCCACCGTCGCTCTGGAGTTCGGTACCCCTAGGTCGCTGAGGTTCGCGTGGGCCGTGTGAGTGCAGGTCCCGATGAACATGGCACGGCCGAGTGAAGATATGACATTGAAGAGTAACAAAGCAGTAAATGCCCAACTATACACCTCATATCATATCTCTCAATGATTGTGCGGCGTAGCACGCATGCCGCGTGTTCGGCGCAAACTGTTTGGAACCATCGAGTCTTTTGAGAAGCGGACATGCCATGATGCTAGTTTCCTACTATTTCCTGCTTTACACTGCCCTGAAGCTGCGAATGGATGTTGATCATTTAAGGCAAAGTAGTAGTTTGTACTAGCGCACCCCTATATGCACGTTAAAAGGCTAGGTGTGTGTGGATAAATACAGTAGAATTGAACCACTCCGTAGCGGACTTGGTTTGCCTTGGGTTGTGGTTCATGTTCAACTGTGCCGAAGGGAGGGCCTTTCTTTGTCACTATTTATCCTTGATGTTCGGGGAAAAGTGTCTGTCGATTCAGTTGCTTGCTCTCCCTCCATCAGTTCAGTACAAATGACTCATGACGATCAAACTAGCATCATGTATTTGGTAAGTCTATCAAACTAGCAGTTAGCATTGATTGCTTCATGATATAGATGAGCTATGAAATGATATCTATATATATCTGGAATCCAACTGACCCCTGTTTTGATAGGAAAAGGCCCTATTTTGGGTGGTTGGTGGTCCAAAATAGAGGTCATTCAGGTTCTAGGTATATATATATATATATATATTATATGTCACAATTGCATCAACCTGCAGAACATGTGCGCAGCAGTTTGTGGCCAGGCGGCGGTAGCCGCTGCGCGTCAGGAATGTACCCAGCTCGCTTCTGTCAGCAGATCCTTAGGGCTTCAGAGGGTAGACCTTATTCGTCCTTATTCCCTAATATTCCATGTAATTATACTGACATATGCATTTAAAATCATTGAAACATCTGCAAACAACCCTAATGTAGGTAAATAAGACTAAGCATGGATTGTTGGGGGTTGGGACTCTATTTTGTGGTGTCAGTGTATTCTAGGTTCAGAACTGCATGAAGGGGGAGGGGGGTTGGTTGGAAACTGGCCGTCTTTTCATGAGTCCAAGGACGACTTCAAGGACATGGAGTCCACTTAGTAAGTGAGCCACGCTAATTCCAAAGGTTCCCAGTGAAAGAACCAACTAGATATAGACACTACTTCACTAGTTGGGGTCTAGTGAACGACAAAACTACAAACCCACAACAACCCCAACACAAGCTGCGCTGCATCCATCTGCACCACGCAAGCTGCACCCATGCAGGCTGCTATGCCTTTCTTCCAACCCCCCCACCTGCACGCTTCGTCCCTTCGTCCAAGGGTCTCAGGCTCCAAGAGGCCCAGGCCATGGTAAGTCCCCGGTCCGGTACTGGATGCGACTGGCGGGACCCGGTGATGGGACGCGGTTCGCGGCGGGGGAGGCTGGTGGGTGGGTCCTGGTGGTAGCTGGGAGCAACGACCAAGGGTGTTGAACGAAAGCCTGGTGATCCTTATAATAATCGTGGTAGCTGGGGACCCACTGGGTGCTGAGTGGAAACTCTGTGCAAGACTCTTCCTTGGCTGGCGTCCATCATCTGAAGAGACCATGCGTCTCACCACCACCCATGTGTCTCACCAAGCAACTGTATCTCAGCCCGACCCCACACAAAACTCCACTCATACCAACCCAACCAGCTCACACCAACTCCACAAATACGACCCCAAATACCCGCCCAACTGACACTGAAACCCCTACTACCTGATATGAGTTTTGCTCTATTCATTTGGGTCTCCTCCGGCCTCCAAGAAGGGCACCTCGTTGAGACGTTCCAGAAGCTCATGGGCCGAGGCTTCCCATTCCGGCAGCTCCTGCCGCTCTCAGTTCCATGAGTACTTCTCCAATGGGGTTCATGGGGGCAATCTATAAACGATTCAATTAATCACAACATCTGGGAAGTCCGAACAAATGTGGGTGAATCCAGTAAATCTCCATGTTAACTGTTCTTTATTTTGTTGTTGATGTTGTTCCTTTTTTGGTGTGTGTGTGCTTGTTTCTCTCTGGTGCGAGGATGTCTGAGGAAACCTTCCAACTGCCCACCTCTGCGGGTCTCTCTGCAAAGAGTTCCACCCACAAGTTCCGATCGTCCCCGACCTCCAATTGCCAGTCCGTCTGCACGCCAAGTTCTCCAAGAATCCTCCTTGGCTGGCCCCTAAGACATGCTATCAAAACCAGTTAAAACAGCTTTAGCCTGGGTTCTTCAAAGTGACCGAACTTAATAACCTGGTTTGAGGTCACTTAAGCCTCCTACGGGTCACAAAAAGGAACCTTCAAAAGGTCACTTCGAAGAAGCTGGAAAGTTTATGTTATTTTATATTGTCACATAAACCGCATAAACGCATGGTTTGGAACGTCACCCGAACATTCCACCTGAGCTGTGCATTCCTTAGGAAAACTCCCAGGGACAAGTGACTATAAAGTCATTCGAACATTTGACTCCAAGTTCGGTTTTTGCAGATGGGTGTCATCCTGCAAGACTGACACCAGTCTCGGGTGTCAGTCTGAAATCCAATTAGGAGTCACCACTGGGTTTACTTCCATTGCTGCCATGGACTCTGCGTGGATTCCGGATCGAACTCCGAGATATTCGGCTCCTCAGCCCCGTTCTGCCGGGTGCTGAGGGCGGTCAGATGCGTTGAGACAGGACCCGAGGGTTCGGGTTCCTCGGCCCCCCTGGAAGTCACATGGTGAGATGGAAGGAAAATGGCTCCGACATGCTGAGACCATCAGTGGAATCTCCCAGGCACTGAAGTCTCACCCTAGAGGCAGCCCGAAGTGAAGGCTTATCCTCGCTTTTCTCCTTTTCCACTTCCATCGTACGTTCCAGAGTTAGTGTCAAGTCTCCGTCCAGAACCCCGGACAGGGCAAGATCTGGCAAGCAATCCCCAAGGTGCATTGAGCATAGCAGGGCCCCAGGTCAAAATGATCATGCATGCAGTGATATAGGGTGACCTATTTATTTGGATGAATTTGGGTAGATCATGGTAGGTCCCATTAGCCAGAGGCTCATGGACCCCCAAACTGCTACATGTTTGACCTGGCTGTGAGGGTCAAAACCCTAGCGAACTGAGGGTCCAATGAGCCTTAGGGTAGCAGGTTTCAGTGGATGATGATGGGGCATCCCTACCCTGACATGGAACTGGTGGTATGAGGACCTATAGATACATCGATCGACACGGTGACCTGTGTGAGTTTGGAGACTTGGTGGTGGGCTAGTGGCTTTGCCATGCATCTCCTCGAAGCTATAGAGGAGAAAAACAACAAGGGGACAAAGGTCTGCAAAGCTGGCTCCTCCAGGCGCTCTTGATACGTCTTCGGATCTTGTAGTGCCCAAGGCTGTTCTTGATCACTTCGAGAGGCCTCGCGCCACTCACGTTGGAGCCGACAAAAGGCAAGTTTTCGGACGTCCGACTTCGAGAGGCCGCCGACGGATGAAGCGGCTCGACAGAAAATCACACCAGGCCTCTTACCCGATATCCATGGTATGGGGGTGTCCGTTCTTACCAGCAGTTGGTCAACAAGAACACGGCTTTTGGAACCCCTGCAACCAGGCGCCATCATCCACTGTTACAGGGAATGGGATGTACATCAAATATGTCCAGCTCACTTTCATGTTCACTTTCCAGTATATTTGCGGGTCCAAACCCCTTTCCATGTATATTTCACATCGTATATATTATGTTTTTCATATGTTTTACACTCACAGAGCCCAGTTCCTCTCTTCACCCGCTTCACTGCAAGCCTCAACCAGCAAAGCGGTCATGCTGTTGAGGGTGTCTCGAAACAAACCTCGCCGTCCCGGCACGGCGATGCGGGTCGCCGCCCGCGTTTCGCACGGCGCACCGCTGTGAAGGTCCCGTTTCGCACGCGGACGTCGGCGACTCTTCGCGTGGCTACTCCTTGACCAGGTGTTTAATAACTTCAAGAGTGTTATGCCCATGTTAGCTACCTGGTCAACCTCAGGAGTACTTGCTACCTTGAACCTTGACCAGGTGTGCAGGAGTACAGTACTTATGCCCAAGGTATGCCCAAGGTTCCAAGAAGTACAACCTGACTCTAGCTGACTCCCAGAAACCTGCTGACCAAAGAGTCAGCCACACATGACATCACATGACCATGACCACACCCCGTCCTTGTTCCGCACTAGCACCGCACAAGAAGCGGTTCATGCGGTTCACTGAACAGACCGTTTTCGGTGTGTTCGGGTGAGACTGGGTTTCAGGGGTGCCAAGACACCGCTCAAGGCCGGTAGGGCGGAGGCTCCGGCGGAGACTCCGACGCCAGCTACACCAGCTCCATAGGCGCGGCCGCTGGGTGAGCGCTCGGGGGAGGTCGGATTCAATACGCTATGCACCAGGCCTGCCATCGCAGTCTGCTTGAGACCCTTGGTCAAGGCTCTTCGAAGCCAGGTGGTATGCATCTGTTGGAAGGCCTCGTCAATGCCTCCATAGGCTTCTTGAAGAATCCGACGAAGGCGTGCTGGGCTGCCGGAGATGGCCTTCGAGTTGAAACCTTTCAACAAGGACCATTCGCTGATGCTCAGCAGGCCTGCCGTCTGCCGTCCAGAGACTTCCTTTACAGGCCGGGAGCAAACAATCAAATCATGAAGCACCCCGTCCTTGACTTGCAGGGGTTTATCTGCACATGGATTTCACAAGGCCTCACCCCATTATCCCCGCAGCGCCATTCTCTCGTCCCTCTCACAGCCCCAGCACAAAGCAATGCAACATAGAAAATAATTGAATCTAGACGTCAACACGGCGAATCTCAAGGCAAGCTTCATTGAGAAACAGGAACAGCATCTTCAAGTCTGCTTTGGGTGCCATCTTGTTGAAGCCAGCGGACATACAAACCTTGTTGAAGGCATTGTATCCTGCCATCTTTGGCGATGCTGGTAGTCCTCGAGGCGAGGAAACCCACGGAGTCGAGCACGAGCACGAGCACGCGTGACTTCCCCAAGCGACGCAACACGCATTGAAGGAAGTATCCACTTACCAGGACCTTCTCAGTGACCTCTTCAGGATTGGTAAGTGACCTTTTCTTTCGGCGTTTCGTGACCGACCCGCCACTGGGATCTCAGGTCACTGGGAAGGCTGGTATAAGTATATGATGCACCAGGAGTCACATGGAGTTGGGTGGTTTTTAGTCCCATCCAGGGGCCGTGGATGTGACAAGGGCACCACTAACCTCCATGGATAGCACCTTGACATGTGGCTGCTGGTATGTGTTGTTCATCACCAACTATTCAACTAGGAACAAGAAAGCTACTAGGGGCTCCTGGCATCGCTACTAGGAGCATTCTTGCTACTAGTAACAAGAAGTCTTCATGGAATTGCACCTTCTTGAGCTGATCCATTTACTCTCCTGGGAACAAACATGGAAGTGGATGGCACCTCTTGGTTGTAGAGGGCTTCATGGTCTTTCTTTCCGGGCCATGCCATCCGTTCCGGGGAGTGTACACACATGGATACGCATGGTGTTTCTCTCCATGGTCCATAGTAGCAACCTCTCTTCGAAACCTGCCCTTGTCCTTGGTGAAATTCCTAAAACATTACATATATATATATTTAAATATTGAATATTATTTGACATATTTTATGATGTTTATTATAGTTTGACAATGTTTTACCAAACATCAACCCAAGCCATAACAAACTCAAGATCCCAAGATCACTTCAAACAAAACCTCTCTCCCAGGCAACCATCCCCAACTCATGCTACCAACACCCGGCTTCCATCCGATGTCAGTCACGACCCACCACCCGCCATGATCGAACGCCGTTTCTTCCCGGATTCTTCCGTCCTTGGAGGATTCTTTCACGTTCCAGGAGCTTGGCAAAGGCCGCCTCCAACCCCCCAAGCATCGTGTCCGCGAAGCGCTTCAAGGCTTCCACCTCCCTCAACACGTCCTGGGCCATGTGGCACGGCCGTGGACCCGGCCTGGACCGGCCCACGGTGGGTGGAAGGGAACTCAAAGCAAGCGCTGGGGAGAATACACCCTACCTTGGGCTCCTGGCCCATCTCCGTTTCGGTTCGATGGGCCAGGGGTGGATGGTCGACTGGGGGGGTCGAATACCACCGGTCACCTGAGGATATATGGGACGTTCGGAGCCCTAGGGACAATTGAATGTACGTGATCGGGTGTCTTTCTTGGGCTCTGAAATTTCATTGAATTGGTTGCTGGAACTTCACACTCTGTTTGGATCATTGGATCACTTTAGTGGCCAACATGTGGCAAATCTGTCATGGGCCCGCTCTATCCAGCTGGTCCTAGGGACATGCCTTAACATCATATCTAAGTTCAATATGAATATGGATGTGACGACTGTGTCCAACACAACAGATCTCTCAGGTCTTCCACCCCTCTCTGGTCGCTTCGGGACATCGAAATCGAAAACGCGATCTCAGTGGGTCCCCACTCACGGTGTCCGTCCTCGAGCGGTCCAGTTAGACCCATCAGAGGTCCAGTACAATTCGAATGACTTGCGATGCGATGCTGCGATGCGAACACGTATCACAAATGATTATTCCACTTTGATTGTTTTTTCCAGATCCTGGCAAAATAAACAAAAAGATATTCCCCAAAAGGGGATTTAGACATGGGAAACAAATCACCTTAAGCAAAACCAGGTCCGAAAATCTCTGGCCCTGCACTGGTGTGGGTGGTCGGCACAACTCTCAGAGCTGCAGGGCCCCTTCAGGGCCTTTGGGTGTCACATGCTTCTTCCCGCGAACTACTTCAGCGCTTCATCTCTCAGCACGGTCCTCACAGCGGAACTCTAAGAGCTTCTGGAACTCGCGGGCATTCACCTGGAGAACGCTTGGACCAACAACGGAAAACGCTCCTGTTTGGTTCGATTTGGGGCATCCACCTGGGCCGTATTGTGAGGTGGTGTAGCATCGATAGAGATAGAGCTGTCTGGTGAAAATGCTTTCTCCCAACAGTCACAAGATGGGTGCCGAACTTAGAGGTAGTCAGGGTGCCCAGCTACTCCAATCACTGGATGGGACTGAAAACCACCCCGTCTGGTGACTCCTGGTCTGTCTATCCATCGGTTTCACATGCTTCTTCGCTGTGCCACCTCCCCGTCGAAGTTCCGGTCCAGCAAGGAGAACACGGATTTCATGACGCGCAGCTCACAGGGATAGCCTGAGGGTGGCGCGGTGGCGCGGGTGGCGAAAGTAGGATGGCGAAATACAAACTGGATGGGTGGAACTTTTCCTTAGGTTGGTATGATAGTCATAGGATGGTATGGATAGATTGAAGTTCTAGAATTGCTTGAATTGCTTGGCCCACTCACCCATAGACGTTTGCACTTCAACGCAAGCTTTGTCCCTCTTCAAGGTCCTAAGCATGTCGCGTCCGTCTACGCCAGTACCTGGGTTGAAACCAACCAAACATATCCAAACTAACCGTATTACAATATCCCAAACCATCCATGGCAACCTGAACATATGCCGCCCCAGAAAAGACCCAGGTCAACCAGTCGAACTGATCGCAGTTCCATGGATGATGCTCCAGGTATGGCAGGTCAACTGCCCATTTGTTTTGTTTTCATTCTCTTCATTCAGCCTAGTCGCGACTATATCTGCCACAAGGACCTCGCATCCTATACCTCACCGTCAATCCCAAACGCTCCACGGGACTGGCATATTTACCAACATTGGGGTGGTGGAGCCACTCGATCCGCCCAACGCCGTTGACCCCGGCTACAGCCCGCTCCATGGCTCCAAAGCACACCCAGGACGGCACCAAACCAGTCATCCCCGCTCTTTCCAAAAATCATCCAACTAGCTAAGGGGGTTGGGTACTAGCTTCCAAGTAGATCTAATCTTCGATTGGCATTTAAAAAGCCACGTGAAAAATACTGAACTAGCTCTCAACACCTCCCCCTGTACAAGGAGAAGACTTGGAAGCCGAGACCCGAGCCGGCCGAGAACCTCGCCGCCCTCGTCTTCAGCCCGTTGTCCCCTCCGAGGAGCCCAGGGCCTGGGCACCTTCCCAAAGCGCCTTGCAGCTCAAGCCCTTCCCGTCGGTGGAGCCCAAAGTCTTGAAGACCTTGCGGAAGACCTCGCCGGTCGAACCAAAGCCTTCAATGACCCAGGACTGGAAGTGTTCCTCAGTTCCGCGCGAGACAAGGAGGTGGCGAAGCAGGGCACTTCCTCCCCCACAAGAAACCCACGGGGGGCGAAGAAGGATCTGAAGGAAGAGATGCCATGAACCACGAGTCACATGTCGGGGTGGTGTTTGCCCCCCCGACTACCTCCATGGATCGCACCCCGTCGAACGTGACTGCTGGAATTCAGCACAACATGCTATGATTGATGATGATATGATGTGAAAATTGATGGATGTCCAGTCTTGTGTTGATTTCACATCTGCGCTTAGAAGCAACACGTTCTTCCACAGCCGCACCCCTTTCCCCATATCCCCCTCCACTCCCTTGAAATCATCGGACTCAGGTACACTCTGTAAACAAGCAAAACACAACACATGAAAAAACATGTAATTAAACACACTGTAACTACAAACCCCAAACGCTCCATATGTCATATATGCCGACCCATTGACCCCCCAAACCACCCTGGCCTGATCGGCAGTCCTATTCCAGTCCCAGGCAGGTCGCGTCTGGGAATTGGTGCCCGAACCAACCTCCCACCGAAACCACCGCGTACGTACCGAAGTGCGGAAGCCAAGTGTCCAGGCGCCGGAGTGCCAACACCGCACCGTGCATGTTGAGGCTCAAGAAGTCCGGTAAATCCTGGATCCCGGCGCGGTCAACCCAAAC